AAAAAAAAAAAAAAAAAAAAAAAATCACATATTTTACTTTACCTTTAGTGTGACAGCTCTGTTATATTCAGTATGAAATGCACCATCCCTGTTGAATGAGGAACAGGGAAACAGTGTGAACTTTCAGGAATGTTTCTGAAAAATCATACAGCTGTTCCCCCTTCTCCCCAACACCTTGTTCTCCAGAATAAATTATCCCACCAAAGTCACAGAATTGTGCAAAATGTAATGCCAAGCAATTTAAAGAAGGGGGGAGGTAGGGGAGGTAGAAATAAGCTTAAAGCAAACAGGCCTCTAATGAATAATTTCCTCTCTGAAGCCTTAATGAGAGCATTTACTAAAGGCATGATCTTGGGGGAGAGAGCTGCTCAGCACCCTGTATAGCTGCATTATCCCTACTTTTATGATGCATAAGGCGGCAATGTAACTCCAGGAATGGCAGTTTCCATCAGCAGCTCTCCAAATGCTTCACTAAGAGGGACCCAGGGGAGGGGGCAGGAGGGGAGGGCAGGATTAAAGGAGAAAGGCAGGTGCACAGAGGTGACATGACAAGCTCAAAGCCACCCAGAAAGGCAGTGCCAGAGCCAGGAGCAGAACACAGGTCTCCTGAGTCCTAGTCCAGTGATCTGTCCACTAGGTCATACTTCCTCCCCTGTTACCTGTATTCATTTAGGTATGTGCATAATCCCTACTGAAAGCAACACTTTAGGACAGTGGTACTCAATCTCTGTTGAGGCCAAATCCAGCCCACAAGCTCATGTCATCAGGGCTCATGGGTCTGGAAATTTGGTGGCAGGGAAGCAGTGCCAGTGTTAATTGCTACTCCAATGCTACTATATATCTAGATCTGTGGGATCCAGCCCCACAGTTGGACCCTGTGTGAGGGACCTTCCTCCCTTGGCCTCCCTACCTGCCCGCCTTCTGCCATGGCTACCTTTTGATCCCACAACTTTGTATATCCTTCCTGCAGCCTGTCCCCTCGCCTGTTCTCCCACCACCACCGTCACCTAACTCCACTTCAGCTTTGGGGCAGTCAGCAGTAGCACAGCCCTGACCCAGCCTGGCCTGGCCAGAAAGAAGCAGAAGCTCCCAGCTGGGCCAGATTGGGGCTGGAAGGACCAGAGCCAGAGCAGAAGGCAAGGAGAGAAGCAGGTAGCTGGAGACTACAGTGTCCCCCATGCTCTCTGGTACTCACTTAGGTAGGTGTCCCCATTCCTCTTCCTGCCCCCAGTTGCCCCTGTGCTCCCCGAGCTGTGAGCTTGCTCCCCCACCAAATGAGCCATCTGAGCCCAGGGCAGGTAGCAGCTCAGCTCCGACTTCAGCCCCACGGCAAGGGACAAAACTGGAGCCGAGTTGCTGCATGACCCAGGCCAGTGCTCAACTCCAAGATGAGGCTCGAAGACCGGGGAGGGGAAATGTCATTTTGAATTCAAGTAAATACAGTAATAAGCCTCTGCATTGGGGGAGAGACTACATGACAGAACTAACAATAAGTGAACGCCACATGCTCATAAATAGCTTGGACAATTAGTGAGAGCCTCTTTCACCCCAGTCCCACACTCACTTATAATGTAATAATTCCACTCCTTTCTCCTTTGAGCTGGGATCTACTTTCATCTTCTTGCATAATTTTCGGCTTTCTGCATCACTGCAAGGTATACATAAGAAAAAAAAATATGGTTAAAAGAATGTAAGCAGTTCAGTGCTGAAAAGTAAAGCATTTAGCCCTGGTTTCTTAGCAGCAATTAATTTTGCTTAAATCCAAGAGGATGGTGGTTTCCATCACATCTGACAAGCAAGCTGGCGTTCTACTGCAGCCAGCATGGATCCGAGCTATTTGGTTAGTTGGTCTGGGTACATGGAGTTGAACGGTCCAAAACAGTGCTCTTAAGTTGAGAGTCCTATCTGTTAGAGCAGGGGTTGCAACATGCTCCAGGATACATGCTTCAGTGCAGGTGATTACAGGAAAGCTTTTAAGAACGTTTCAGGAAGATGTGCCCATAGTTTGGTTGGCAAGACTGGTTTGGGAGAGAATAAAATAAACAGAACACAGTCAACCTTTGTCTCAGGGTAGGAATGAATCCTAAGTGCACAGAGGAAGCCTGAAGCATGATGAGAGGGTTTAGACTGAGAGAAAAAGAGAGAGAGAACTGTGAGAAGGGATTAGACTAGTGAGTCTCAAGCAGGCCACCATGGCACCCTGGAGCACCTTAAGGTCCTTTCTAGGGTGCTGCACAGTGTTTGCAAACCTAACAGTTCTAACATGATTCACATGATAAACCCAAAGATTTCACACAGAAATCTGGAGTGTTAAAAACAATCTGATCTGTTGTGGTCTGAGTTCTTTGCAACAGAATTGCTCTAGTTTTTTGTCTATAGAAAAATAGAAGTGAGAAATATGAGCTGGCATTTTCTAAAGGGTGTCTTAAATCTATCCAGGGGTGCCTTGGGCATAAAAAGGTTAAGAACCACTGAATTAAACACACACACCCACATTCAAGAAAGCATTTGCTTAGGTTTGTAAGACTTAAGTCCAGGCTTAAGAGAGCACACACCAACTGCAGATGCTTCCACAGCCTGACGAAGGGTATTTAAACCCAAAAGCTTGCAAAGAACAATTTTTCCAACTATTTGAGTTGTTCTAATAAAAAAAACTATCAGATTTACCCAAAGAACCTTGTCTGCCTATGTCCTTAGACCTACACAGCTACAACCTACACCCCTGTCAACTATATGAAGCCTTCATTGTTGAAGAGAACATGGCATGCAAGAGGAAACTTCCTGAAGAAAAGTTAAATGGTCAAAGTGCCAAAAGAAGGGAGGGTTTATGTTGACAAGGCTATTAGTTGCCTCGACAGAGCAAGATGAAAAAGCTCCAAAAACCTGTTTCTCAGCAGAGGCTCCTTGTACCTTTTGCACCAATAAATCCATTTAGCAAATGAAAATGCTGAGCACCTATCAATGCCACTGAAGTTTAAACTGATTAGAGTCACTTTAGAAAGCCTCAATGCCACAACTGCGAGGGGCCCTGCTGAATCGAGGGCTCCTGCCGGTGTCTGCATCAATTCTACAGACATTCTCAAGCTGTCTCCTTGCAAACGTGAGGAACAAGGAAGAGAAAAGAAACCCAATGAATTAACACTGTTGCAGAGAGGGAACTGTGTGCAGGAAGTCCTAGGAGGCACGTTCCAGACAACATTGCGTTAAAAGACAGACACACACACTGGAGTGTTAAATTACAGATCTAAATTAGCATCTCAAGGAGCTAGCAAAGCATGTGATGATTCCCCCAATTAGAAGCGTCTGTTTTCTCACCCACGCATAACCCTGCAGTCCTACGAGACTCATCTTTGGTCCTGGATACTCAGATAGCAGAATGCAGCCAGCTACAAGTTTCCCCGCCCTCCACCTTTTGCTTTGCCACAAAACTGCATATGTCCCTCTCAGCCACAGATCTTCCTTCCTTTTTTGTGTCCTTGTGACAAGGTATTTTGCAGAATTTGCAGATTTGCTAGATTCTGACACGGCCGAACCATGAGTTCTCCTGCTATGGCCTCAAACTTGCTACCTCTGGGATCACATAAAGGTCAATTTGGCCATCGGTACTTGTTGTTTGGATGGCCATAATTTGGTCCATCTAGGAAGGACCTGGGAAAGCCGCTCGAGATATTTCAGCTGGCACTGAACAAGGTCACCCATCTTATATGTAGAGGGGGCTCGTAAAAGGATATGCAACTTGTGCTTTGCTATGAATCTCACTCAGAAGCTGCCTTGCACAGTCCCATTTGCCATTTACAAAGCCACAGATGATTGGACCTAGCTGTCAGGCACCACCTCTTGCCATTCTGCTCTCCCAAGTCACCCATGCATTGCCAAAACATGCCTGCAAGCTGTCTTGCCGGCCAAGTTTGAAGGCAGCTCATTCCCGGTAGGAAGTCCCCATATCTGAAGTCTACCCCATAAGAAATTTGTCCAAGCTTTAGCCAGGGACACAGAGGGGCTTACCCAGAGACAAGTCTGTTGTGTTGCTGCAAGTAACTGGCACCCAGCTCAGGTGAGCCCAAACTTTCAAAACGCTGCCCCAGGCATGCCCAACTATTTCTTCCAGGGCAAGTCCCTTTCTGGTCGACTCTGTGCAACAGCCCCATTTGGAAGCAAATGTTTGTGCAGTGTGAAGAGGAGCAAGTTCAATGGGGCTAACAAAGTATGTCCAGGTGAGGGGCACAGGGCTGCAAGCAGAGTCACAAACACCAAGCTACACAGACCCTTGGATCTGCAAACAGGGCTGGAGGGCCTTTAGCCCTGGGTTTGCAACCATTAATCCTGCTCCAGTGGTTATGGCGCTGCTCTCCAATGGATCAGGCACTATAGGGTGCTATTTACAACTCTGCCACTGAGTCACTGCAGAGCCATGGGCAAGTAACTTATCTCCCCAAGCCTCATTTTCTCCTTATCTAGAGGGACACTAAGCTTTGAGATGATCTGAGATTTACAAATGAGAAGTGCTCCACAGTGTTACTACTCAAAGGAAAGTGTCCCCAGGTACTACCACAACAGGTGCCCCATGAATACCAGGAACAAACATCACCTGCTTCAACTCTTACTAATTCCTTCCTTACTAACTGAAGCCTTTATTAAAAAAACAGGAATGTAAATTCCAGAAGCAGCAATATCTTAAAAGGGAAAAAAACCAGCCTATTTAAATCTTTCCAGCACTGAGGTTCTGCCTCAATTCTAGCCATCTGTGTAGCTGCACAGGGACAAACCCTTTGCAGACAGACAGAAAGCTGCAATTTGCTCTGTGCATCTTGCCCTGCGCGAGCATGAAACAGAATTTAGTCCATCTACACAAGGGGTCTGCATGGCTGATGTCCAAGCAAATCCCCAGCACAAATCAGGTCTCAATTTGCATCAGTAATTTTTTCCATGCCCCAGTGCAGCTTTCTGAATATGCCAGACGCACCGACTCAGCTACTGAATTAAGTCTTCTTGGAAAGATGACATACTTTGCAAAGACAATACTGGACCTAGTCTCCCTCCGCTGCCCCCACCGCATTTGCTGCTGCTGATTTCCACGCAGCCAGAAAAAGAAAATAATCCACAAGGAACAGCTCTCTACAATATCATTTTGAAACGGCTGTTATCCTTCAGGAGAATAAATACCAACCCAGATTCAGTCTGCTCTGGGGAGATTTACCTCCATTGGATTCTGGCCAACAGCTACTCTCTAAAGGCAAGCTCTTTACCTCTTACATGGGAAAGGATAATTAGGACTCCAGCTCTTGCGATTTAATTAAACCGTTTGAAGAAAGTAGAAGAGCTCATTAGTGTGCTGGGAAAAAAAAAGAAAGAAACCATCTCAGAATTGACTGCTTAATGGGTACGACAAGACACCAGAGCATCTTCCAGGCTCAGGAGAAGGGGTTACTACTCCGAGTAACCATACCCACTATTAATATGGTCATGCTCTCTCACACCATCTTCTTTCACATGAATTTTAACCCTGTTAATTCAGTACTATGCCACTACTGAAAAAGGATGAGGCCACAGCTTTATTTAAATTGCATTCAATACATCCAGCTTTATCCCCATGGAAAAAGCAATCCCAAATGCTAGCACCCTCAAAATAACAGGGTGGACCCAGCCAGGCACTCCAGCCACCTCTCTCCATATCCAGGAAAGATACAGGAAGTTGTTCTCAACAGGAGCTGCTCAGGGAAGGGCTCCTGCAACAACAGACCAAGAGGGGCCAGAATGCACGGAGGGAGAAATAGTGCAGATGTTGGACTTGCTGCATCAGAAGCTGATTTGTTTCCAAGGGTGAACGTGGTGCCTGGAGATGGCACTGCTGATCGCCATCATCAGGCACAGGTCAAGGATTCAGGCAGATTTGGACATCAGGAGAGTGAAACTCAGCATCCTGATGAACATCTCTATTCTCAGACAGCTGCTCCTGCCAACCCCAAAAGACTTTCTTCATCACGTAATACCATCCCTTGGCTTCTCACTGAGAGGGAACGTGTGCAACTGTATGCTGCTATTAGCTTCTGACTGGCAAATAAGCCTGAGCACCAGCTGGGCCTGGTAAGATTTTCAAACCCACTCTCAGAATACAGACAAAAAATCCCAGCATGTTCAAACTATGCTGCACAATAAAATAAGCACTACTGTAGGGACAAGCAGGGACAGATTATAACAGTTTAAAAGTATTCCTCTCCTGCTGGGCTGGGGACAGGAAAGGGGTGGAGGAGCTGCTGGGCAGTCTTTGCAATAGGGATGTGAAGGGAAGGTGGCATATCAGTATACTGGCCGTCTGGCTACACTTTGCTTTGTAGCACACTCATGGACTAGCTGTCCCTTATCTGTACTTCCTGTGGGCGCAGGCACAGCGAAGTGATTAATGAAGACATCATGGAAGCACTGGTTTAAGTAATGAGGTGAGTAACTCTGCATACATTAACACTGGCTTGCTCTCATGCAAGCATATCACATAACCACATCTGAACCACATCACCATATCAACAAATTTGAAAGCCAGCCATTTATACCGTTGTCAGGCTCAAAAGCTCTAGCCAAGACAGGGACCATAGTGTGTCAGGTACTTTACAAACACACAAGGAGGCAATCCTTGCCCTGGAGGGCCTACAA